TGCTCCAACGACTTCCATCTTGCACGAAATTGCAGCTATATACAGTTGCTCAAAATAAATATATGCTTCTATTGTGTACAACTCACGAACATTAAGAAGCAGTGAATTATCAGGGAATTGACATTCCACACGGCCATTGTTGCACCGAAAGTCATCTTTATTCTCCTTCTCTCTCCACTCCTCAAGAACTTTGACAAAATGAGAATAAAAGCCACACAATCGAGCAGTCTTGGGAAGTTTCGCCGAAATTGAGTTGTTTGTTGATTCACTCCTTTGGGATGATAATATACCACCAGAGAAATGAGTTTTGTTAAAGGCTGGACACCATTTGTGACAATTTGAATACAACCGCTTCAGCCATTTATCATCAGCGCAATTGTATGTATCACACATCCTGAAGTATCATGAACAATGTTACATTATGAAATAAATATGTGTAATTGAATATTGAACATGTTCTTATAAACAATGAACATGTCTAATGAACATGTTTAATAACTAAATGAATATTTGTTTATATAAAGTAAACATGTTTAATAACTAAATGAATATTTTTGTATACAAAGTGAGCATTTTATTTAAAACAAAATGAACTTTTTCTACAAAAATAAAATTATGAAGATGTTACAGTATGATATGAATATGTTTAAGTATTAACTGAATATGTTTAGTTGTTTAATGTCTACATTCTATTTGACATGTTCGTTGAATATATGACAACGTCTCAGTATGATTTGAACATGTTTAATAAATAAATGAATATGTTGTATAAATAAATGAACATGTTTATGTACGAAATGAATTTTATCTACAAAAATAATATGTGAGAAATGAACATGGTTCAGTATTAAATGAACATGTTGAATTGATGACTGAATATGTTCAAATATAAATTGAATAACTCACTTTTTCCAATAAAAATCGAATTCTGGTATTGCGTCCGTTGATCTCAAAACAAAATGAAAAAGATTGATGAAACCGGGCATTATCCGAAGGTACTGAATGTGCTTTTTTGAATTCTCGTCAATATGCCAGGTGCATAAGCGATGTCGGGATTGCGTTAACACCAATGGAATTGCAGCTGCCATGGCTGCATCTTCATCGGTCATTATTGTGGCAGGCTGCTTCCCACCCATTGACTTCAGAAATTCATCCAACAACCACTGAAATGAATTCTTGTCCTCATGAAGCAAAAAACCGACACCAAACATAATGTTTCTCTTGTGATGGTTCATCCCTGTAAATGGAGCACATGCAAGATTGTACTTAACTGTCCTATAAGTAGTATCAAATACAACTAAATCACCAAACACCTCATAATCCTTCCTCATGCGAGAATCCCTCCAAAAAATAGAACACAATGATGCTGTTTCCTTATTCAGATCATAATTAAAATAAAATCCATCTTCCTGGGTCTGTCTTTCTTTCAATATATTAAGTAGGCCATTTGCATCACCGCCTTCCCAAATTCTCCGTTCAAGCTTTGCAACGTGGTTACGGGCATCAATTATTGTATATGGCATATTTTGAATACCACGAGCTTGATCCAAAAGAACTCTATAACCAGCGGTAACACCAACTCCACTAGCTTTTAATTGTGACAAATATGCTACATCATTCGAAGGCATATCCCTGTGAGAGCGAAAATAGCGGGCTTGATTGCATGGAACTAACTCATGGTTGTGTTGATCCTCTTCTTGTTCCACTATCCAATTAGCACCATCAAAAAGAAGCTGAATCATTGCCTTGCAACCAACCCGCGTTTCCAATTTTGTATAACTCCTCTCTTTGCCCACTTTGCTTTTAAACCCTTGCTTATTGCAACAAAATTGTTTGCAATATACAATATCATCTTTCTTCTTTCTTGACCTGAATTTTCTAACTCCAAAACCATGTCTCTTCGCATATGAATTGTAGAATTCATAAGCATCTTCCAAGGAATTAAATTTCATCCCAAGCAATTTTTCATCATCGATCTCTACAAAAATATGAACATGTTCCGTTAGGAAATAAACATGTTGAGTTAATAAATGAACATGTATACATTCTATATCGAGCTTTTCCAAAACAGAGAATAAACACCTATTTAATATATGAACATGTTCAATAACTAAATGAACATACGTATATAGAAAATGAACATATGTAAAAACAAAATGAAATGAACATGTTAAAAACCAAAATGAACTTTTTCTACAAAATGAAATGAACATGTTTATATACAAAAATGAACATGTTTATATGAGTATCTTGCATTATGAAATGAACATACATTATCTTAGAATGAACATGTTTTCTGAATTACCTGCGCCTTCACCCGTTTCAACCACAGAATTATTGGCTTCATCAATGGATATTACCGGGGTTTCATTACAATCAACATGTTCATCGTCTTCATCAATCGATATTACAGCGGTTTCATTAAAATGAACATGTTCATCCTCAAATAATGAAATTGTTTTTGGATTGCAAGACCCAACTACACTTTTTTCCAGATTGGAAGACCCAACTACACTTCCATCTCCAAAATCAACATGTTCATCATCTTCATCAATCGATATTACAGCGGTTTCATTAAAATGAACATGTTCATCCTCAAATAAAGAAATTGTTCCAGATTGTAAGACCCAACTACACTTTTTTCCAGATTGGAAGACCCAACTACACTTCCATCTCCAAAATGAACATGTTCATTCTCTAGATCAAAATGAACATGTTCATGTTCATGATTACAAAACTCAGGGGCTGCGTCTAGATCTTCTAATATCACCATCGGAAAATTCAGTTTTGCAGAAGAAAAAATCGACAATTGCATTCAGAAGAGAAGAACTGGAGTGAAGAAGTTTTTTTGCCTTGAAAAATGAGCCCAATTTTGGCGGAAGGGAGTGCAATTTTACCGCCTTTTTTCTCCCATTCTCTCTCTGCGCGTGGAACAAGAAATTGAACAAGAATTGCAATTTAAGGCCACTCGCCTTTTTTTTACGTGAACACACTCTCTGCCCTGGCACACCTAGCAAGGTGTGCCAGGGCACACCTAATTATTTGCGAGAAATATGGGTTCATTATCTTCGGGCCAGAATTCAATTCTTCTTCAGCCGACAGCCATATTCTTCAGCTGACTTTTTTTACCAAAATACCCTCAAAATATTCACTCTACACTATACTACATGGGTTGAGGGTATAACTGACTTTTCACTTCGATCCTCTCTCTCTAACTCTCTCACTCTACCG